CCTATGAATATGCTTTAACTTTCATCTCTTTCAAAAATAGAAGAATTAAATACAGTAACAGTCAGTATTGTTACTCATGCCCTTTGCCTGGATTGGATTCGTGTGTGTGTGTGTACGTGTGCATGTGTGTGTGTGTGTGTTTGCAAGCTTGTGTGGAGGTTAGAGGACAACCTCATATGTATGAGTGGGGTCTCTTCTTTTCCATTTCCCAGGAAGTTATCTGGCTTGAGCCTCAGAGGAACATCCTGCCTCCCCATTTCTACCCACCCTCCATAGGAGCCCTGGGGTTCTAGGTGGTCACGCTATGGTCCTCACGTCTGCATGGCACGTGTTTACCCACTAAACCATCATGCCCAGACATAGATTGCATTCTTGTTTACTTTGATTCAGTAATTTTTTTTAAACTGAAGATTTCTTATTTGTTTGTTTGTTTGGGTTTTGGTTTTTCAAGACAGGGTTTCTCTATGTAACAGCCATGGCTATGCTGAAACTCACTTCGTAGACCGGGATGGACTCAAACTCACAAATGTGCCTGCCCCTATCTCCTGAGTGCTGGGATTAAAAGTGTGTGCCACTACCACTCAGCCAATTTAGATTTTTTTTAAAGGAGGAAGGGAAACAAGACAAAAAAACAGCCATGAAAATCAGAGCACAGCCCTAAAGGGAATGTTGCTAAAACCAACATAAAGAATGCAGAACTTCGTCACTAAAGTCCCCCTGTGAAGTGTGCAGTGAAGCCTTTCTGCCCTCCTTGTTAAAAATGGGATGTAGAGACAGCATAGTAGCATGATTATATATGCCTGGGATCTCAGCACACAGGAGGCTGAGGCCAAAGGATCAGCCTTACCTAAATATCAAGTTAGAGACCACCTGGGGTTATAGGAGACCCTGTTTCAAAAAAAAAAAAAGAGGAAATTTGCATGTGTGAGGTACTAAAGACTGTCGGGCAGTGGTGGTGAACACCTTTAATCCAAGCACTTGGGAAGCAGAGGCAGTAGGACCGCTGTGAGTTTGAGGCCAGCCTGGTCTACAGAGCAGTGCCAGGACAGTCAAGGATGTGAAACTCCATCTCAAAAAACAGAAAAACAAGCAAAGATGGATGAGCATTAAGCTGATTATTTATCTCCGAGAAATCAAAGAGAAACCAAAGAACTTGAGAACATGAAAGGCGTTTGTTAGTCAAAAGATTTGTTGTATTTTATTTTTAACAGTGTGTATATCTGTGTGAGTAGAGCTGCCTGTGGAGGCTGGACGAGGTCGTTGGACGCCCCGGAACTGGAGTTGCAGGTGTTTGTGATCCTAACCACTGGACCATCTCATCTCTCTAGCCCCAGAGAATGCAAAAAAAAAAAAAAAAAAAAAACCTGAAACCCAATAACCAAAACAAAACTTTATTGTTTAAAAAATACGTGAAGGTTTTTTTTTTTTTAAATAATAACCATCACATACCAAGATTAAGCAAACCAAAAGCAGAAAATGCCTTTTCAATCCGTGACTGTGCATTCTGGAGCCTTGGAGATGGAAGTCCGGCCTTATTCCTATTAAATGAGCTCTCTGCTTATTTACTGAATGGCTACCCCAGTTTTGCTTTGTTACTTAAACCCTTTAAAGATGTTTGCATTCCTTCGGGGGATTCCTCTGCACTGGAAGTCACCGAACTGAATGATGACGATAAAGAAAATAACAATGACAATGTTATAATTTATTTTCTTTCTTTCTCCCGCCCCCGCTCCCAGACAGGGTTCCTCTGTGTAGTCCTGGCTGTCCTGGAACTCTCTCTGTAGACCAGGCTGATCTCAAACACAGAGATCCACCTGCCTCTGCCTCCTGAGTACTGTAATAAAACATCACCTCCTGAGGACATGTTGAGTTTTATATTGTTGCGGTCTAGGTTTGTTATATCAGGCCCTGGGTTAAAAGGTTTGTATTTAAGCAAGTTATTATGATCTCCTGTACCAACTCCTAAGAGAGCTCAGGGGAGCTAATTAGATAGTCCATAATATGAGAGCTTTAAAGCATCCATTATCAATTATTTATTTCTATTTTCTATTTTTTTAATTTCCCTCTTTTAAAAACAATTTTCTTTGGAAGAGCTGGAGAGGTGACGCAGCAATTAAGAGCATGTACTGGGAGGACCCAGGAGCCTCACAACCTTTCTAGGGGATCCGACGCCCTCCACCGACGCCTCCAGCGTCAGGCAATATGTGGTACCCACACATACGGTCACATAAAATGCACTCATGCACGTGAAATACAATGGAGCTTAAAATTTAAATGTTCATCTGTAACCTTTCAAAATGAGTATTAGTGCACAGTTCTGAATGGGTAATGATTTTATTCAAAATTTCTGCTTAAATTTTATTCCATGGGTGTTGGGTGTCACAAATGAAATACATCAGAACACATAAAGACAAACACTACATATTGTAACTCAAATGTGGATTTTCTGTTCTATTTGCGTGTTTGAGACAGGGTCTCATGTAACCCAAGCTAGCTGCCAACTCTCATATTAGCCCAAACTGACCTTAAACTTCCGATTCTCCTGCCTCCATCTCTTGAGCAGTAGGGTGTGAGTCACCACCATCAGCTCGCTCCCTGTGTGGAAGCTTGAAGGAGTTCCCACAGAAGCAGAGAAAAAAATAGATATTACTAGGAAATGAGCAAGACTAGCAGACAGGAAGAACGGAGGGAGATGGGTAATGGATACAAAATATGGTTAGGTAAAAGGGAGGCATTCAAGTGTGCTTTCCTACTAGGTTTTCTTTGGTGTGTGTGTGTTCGTGAACATACTGTGGTGTTTGTTCGTGGAGGTCAGAAAACAACCCAAAGCATTCAGCTCTCTCCTTTCCCCTTCTGCCACGTGGATTCCGGGAAGCCGGGTTTGGCAGCAACAGCTTTTCTTGCTCTGTCATCTCTTCAACCCTGAGTTCTTTCTTTTCTCTTTTATGTTTTTTTTTAAAGTTTTTTTAAATTTTGTATGCATGATTGTTTTGCCTGCATATCTGTGCACCACAAGAGAATGTCTGATCTCCAGGAATTATGGATGGTCTGTGAGCCGCCATGTGGATCCTAGGAACTGGACCCAGGTTGTTGGGAGGGCAACACATGCCCTTAATTGCTGGACCGCTTCTCCGGGCTCCCAGAAGCCCTGGGTCCTTACATTCTGTAGCACGGTAGGGAAATTTTCATTAACAATGATTCATTGTATATTTCATAAGGAAATAGAAGAGTCCCTAGGACCCAAACACAAAGAAATGAGAATGTTGGGGCTGGAGAGATGGCTTAGAGGTTAAGAGCATTGCCTGCTCTTCCAAAGGTCCTGAGTTCAATTCCCAGCAACCACATGGTGGCTCACAACCATCTGTAATGAGGTCTGGTGCCCTCTGCTGGCCTGCAGGCATACACACAGACAGAATATTGTATATATAATAAATAAATAAATACAAAAAAAAAAGAAATGAGAATGTTTGCCATGCGAATATTAATTACTAGCTAACTAGTTTCTGTCATCCAGAAAGCCTCTGCCCCCTCGACAGGAGATCAAGTGAGTCTCCTCCTACCTCCAGAGGACTGAGTGATTCTTAATGTTATTATTAATAAAAATTCAGAGACTTAGCTGGGTGTGGAGGTGCAGGCCTTTAAACCCAGCATTTAGGAGGCAGAGGTGGGCAGATCTCTGAGTTCTAGGGCAGCCTGGTCCACAGCAAGTTCCAAGTTCCAGGCCAGAAAGGACTACATAGTGAAAAGACTCTATCTCAAAAAACAAACGAACAAAAACAACAATGACACAAAAGTTCAGAGTCTGGATTCTCTGTGTTTCAACTTCCTGAGAGCTTCTCTGAGGACAGACACCACACTTTCTCACCTGCTGTGTTCACTAGACAGTCCCTGGCACTCAGTAGTAAGTGCTTGTTAACTAAGACTGACTAGAAATGGGTACAAACGCCTGCTTCCTCCTCCCCTACCTATATTGAGGGATTGCTGATGGTGACCTGTTTATTGTCATCATTTAGGAGGTACCTGGTAAAAGCTACTGAATTAATAGCAGAATTATCCTGCAAGCGAAGCAAAGCAGACATTTGGTTCCCAGACAGACAAAAAAGTATGTGGCATACTGGGTCAAAACTTGGGGTTCAAAATATACTAATTTCTGGGTGAGGTGGGGAAGGTGGGATCCTCACCAGCTTCATCCCAGCAGCAGAATTTCTTCCAGATGCTGTTCAATATTGGGATGGGGGGGGGGGGGCTGCTAATCCACCGTGGCTCAACTTGGGCTAGAACAAGGCATCTCTGCCCTTGCACAGAGGGACGGGAACTCTCGACTGTTCGTGAGAACACACAATAGGTCCATAGTTTGTGATAGGCTGGTAATAATATAAAATAGGCTCCTGAAATCTATCTTGAGCCTTCTCCCACCATCCGTTTTCCAAACCACCATCCAGCAGCGACCTCCTAGGTGTTCTGAGGAGTAAAGGACTACAGGTCGACAGAGTGCCCCAAACTAAAAGCGAATGGGTCCAACAGCATCAGCACCAAGCAACCTAAAAGAAGCCTCCGCTGTGATGTCTAGGCCCAACTGCTGGGCTGCACTGGGATCCCACACAGAGAAGGGAGCGTTCCTTGGAGGGCATCAGTTTACACTGGTCCCCTGCTCGCCTTTAAGATGGGGCACTGGGCCCAAAAAGGCAAAGTGACGTGGCCCAGGGCTTTGAGGTGGGGGTTAGGCCGGCTATCCCTTTGCGGAGGTTACAGAGAGTCCCGCACCAGAGCTAAGTTTGCACGGCGAGTATGTTCTCGGCGTGGAGGGGGCTGGTGAAGGCTCGGGATGGACTCAGGAACCAAGGGAAGCCGAGCTCTCCAAGGACTTAGTCTCCCCCTGCAAGAGCAGAGTTCCTGGGATTCAAGACCACGGATCTGGGCACTCGACCGTGCCCTCCAGGTATCTCCCGAAGGGGTGGGGAGCCGCTAGGGTCCGTGTGGGTGGAGCGGGGCGTGGGTGTGGCTCAGCCTGTGATTCAGAGAGCCGGGACCTGCGAGAGTCTGCTGGTGCCCCACACTCGAACCCGAGATGACAGCCAGCAAGCGAGTAGCGAAGGTAGGCGCATTGAAGACAACCCCTTTCTATGCCCCCCGCCCCATGCTCTATGCCTTCCGTTTCCTCCGGCTGACCTCCGGCGCTTTTGCTTATTAGGGTGGGCTGAAACCCAGGCATCTGTACCCTTTCCCAATGAAGGAGTGAAAGGGGGCGATCGGTGTGTATGTGTGTTTGTGGGCTAGGATGGGGACACACAAGACAAGAGCTGTCACTAGCTTTCCGAGTTGTACTAGGGTGAGTGTGTGGGTGTGTGGGTGAGAATGAACTAACTCCCCAAAGTGGTTTCAGTTTCAATTCTGCTAGAAATTTATTAGTGGGGCGTTATCTCAGGCACAGAAGGGTTCTGTTGCGCCACCTACTGCTAGAGATGCAGACGGGATGGGCGGTCCCTGGAAAGAATGTATACAGAATAGTCCCTGGATGAGAAATTCCAATTTATGCCCTGTTAGGTTCCCAACGCAGTCCGCTACAGATGCTAAATGCCTGAGCCCAGTGTCAGGCGGCAGGGGGCAGAAAAGGAACAAAAATCGTATCCCATTTGCGCTTTCGTTTCTTTCTGGGACACTGTTTGAGTACGATCTGGAAGAATGGGAAGGAGGTAGTTTCCTTAGGATTTTCTAGAGGGCTAAAGGGAGCCACGGTTGGAGATCTTAGATGAGAAACGCTGGTGAGCTGGGGCTGGCACACCCAGGCTTTAAGTCTTCCCCTCCAGTCTGCCGAATTTAGGGAAAGGCTGTTTCACGAGAGAAAAGAGGTGACCGTTGTCGTCAGCTATACAAAGGGAAATTCTTTAAGTTGGAGAAGGCCAGAGCAGGCTCATTCCAGAACTAAAATTTAAAGGCTGGCGCAAAATAGGGCAGAGGGGGTTTGCTACCTTAGTGCTAAGAAATGGACTGTCTTGCATTGCTTCCAGAACCCTTAGTGCCAGGCAGTTTGTTTTTTTTTTTATCTAATTTTTATAGCGGCTCTGTGAGATAATTGTGTCTTCCCATTTCACAGAGGAGGAAAATGAGATATCAGAGAGAACCTGGCTGACCAGTGCTGTTCAGGTATTCAGCGGGAGTGACTGGGCTGGAATTTGAGCCCAGACTGAAGAAACTCTAACTCACAGGGCTTTTAATGGCCTTTGCGTTTTCACTTTCAGTTCCTCTAAGTCAGGTGACTTACTAGCAGGCTTTGGGAGGAGCTGTGTGCCTTAGCTTGGGTTTCAGCAATTATGGGAAAGGCATGGCAGAATTCACCAAAACACAGGAGATCCAAGTATTCCCAGTGGTAAGAGAGAAGATTCCCCTTTGGTATTTTTTTTTAATTTTGAGATAGGGTTTATGTAGTCTGGGTTGGTCTCAAACTTGATGTGTTGCTGTCAATGAGCTTTAATTTCTTTTTTAAATTATTGCTTTTATTTTACGTGTAAAAAGGCAGGTGTTCTGCCTGCATGTATGTCTGTGAATCACCTGCATGCCTGGTGCTAGCAGAGGCAAAAGAGAATATCAGATCCCCTGTAACTGGTTGTTACAGAGATAGTTGTTAGTCACTATGTGGGTGCTGGGACTTGAACCCGGGTCCTCTGGGTTAGAGCAATAAGTGGCACCCAACTTCTGAACCTTTGATTTCTCGATTTCTCTGCCTCCACCTCTTAATCCTGGGATCAGTGATGTATAACACTTTATCAAGTTTTATGCAGGGCTGGGAATTGAACCCAGGGCTTCACACTTGCTGAGCAAACACTTTACCAACTAAGCTGCATCTCCAGCCCAGAACATGGGCACTCAAGATCTGTGCTCTACCTAAGCCTCTCTTTTTTGCCCAAGCTCTAGAAGATAGTTATAGTTAGGTAGAAGAGGCAAATGCGTGGTCATGGTTCTAAGTAGGAGGCACAGGAAGCAAATTGTTGGCCTGACTAGACGCGGAAGCGAGGCTGAGAGATAGAAGGGACTGTGGGAAGTTTATGTGTGTGGAGCGGGAGTACAGAAGGCTTACAACAGCAAAGGACCCCACCTCCAACCCCCTGGGCAGGGGAACTTTCTCTTTGCCTGTGTTTACACAAGCATTTCCCAACCTTATCTCTGTTGCCCCTTGGGACCAGATAATTCTTTGCAGGTTGTTTCCTCAGCATCCGGACTTTACCTGCTGAACTGTGGTAGCATTTACCCCATTCGGGATAAGGGAAGACGTGTCTAGATATTGGCAAATGTCCCCTAGTGGGTAAAGGCATCCCAGCATGAGAACCACCAGTTTGTATCTATTCATTGTCCCAGAGGACTGAGTTGCCTTGAATGTGTGGTTTTACAATGGCCCGTGTGTCATCATTGCCCCTCTCCCCCCACACAAGGAGAAGATCTGGAGTTCCGTGGGTGAGGTTCCTTGATCAGATGCACTCTGGTAACTGGAGACTCTGGGTATGCTGGGGGAGGGGGGTTCAGTGGTAGGGTGCCACCTAGTATATTCAAGGCACTAACCAAACCAAATCCACAAACTCTGGGTTGTTCTGTAGTGACAAAACTGTTTAGCTCAACTTTCCCAAATGTACTTAGCCATGAAGCCCTTTTGCTGTAGTAACTATTAATATTTCAGGGGCACCTGCACACACTTGTCCTGTCTGAGCCCTCGGCTTTGGCGTTCTGCTTTTCCACCTGGTGGGCTCCTATCTGTTCCTCAAGGCCTATCTCACAGCATGTGACCTCTGTGAAGCACTCTTGTTCCCCCCCTTCCCTCCTTCCTGATCGTGTGTCCATCCACACTTTCCACACCCTCCAATCTGAATTCCCTCTGTTACCTCAAAGATGTTCCTGGGGCTGCACCCTGTCTTCATCAAGGGTCCATGGAGGATGCTCAGGCTACTGCTTCTGGGAGAATCAGGGATGCCCAATTGACTGCTCATTTCTGAGAATCCCTGGTTACCATGTATCACGCAGAGGTTCTCATTAGGGGCAGCCTGGATCAGTCCCTTACCCCTGTGGTGGTGTGGTGGAGGGCATGGATGGGTGATGTCCTTGCCTTTGTTCTGCCAGCGCATATGGTGCTGGGAACTCAGCAGATATCACTGAAGACGGAGAGAGGAAATGGGACTCCGTGACTTTCCAGGAAGCGGGCAAGAGGACAGAGTTAGGTACCTTGCTTTCAGAAAGGAAGGTTTCTAGGAGAGCTTCCTCCCAAGTTCTCAATATTTGAGAGCAGTGATCAGCTGATTCTCATACTGGGGCCTGCGGGGCTGGGGTGAGGCCGAAATCAGCTGTGCTGAGTGATCACACCAAGTGCTCCCTAAGCAGTGGCTCTTGAAGTTGGGTTTTCCTGTGGGCCACCAGCTCACAAACAACAGCCTCATTAATTATGAAAGCTTGGCCTTAGCTTAGGCGTTTCCCATCTATCTCGTATGACTTAAATTAATCTGTTTTTATTAATCTATGTTCTGCCATGTGGTTCAGTTACCTCTCTTCTGTACTGGATGTCTGACTTCTTCAGTGTCGAACTGGTATCTACTGCATGCCTAGCTTTATCCTGAGTTCTTCTCTCTGTATGGAAGTCCCTCCTATTCTCTCCTCCTTAGCTATTGGCCAGCGAGTTCTTTATTAAACCAATCACGGTGACACATCTTCACACAGTGTAAGCAAATATTCCACAACAGGCTCTGACCTTTTGCTTTCTGCTCTTGGGATATCCTGTTTGGGCTTGCTGCATGGCTGCCGGTCGGGGGCTGGGGTTATGGGCACTTGGCCCACTGTCCCCCCATGTGACCCCTACAGGAGTTGGAGGATCTTTTGGAACAACTTCCACCGTACCTGCGGGACCTGTCTGGCAATGATGACAACGTGCTGGTGTGGAACATGCTCCTACTGCCTGTGAGTGTCCCCTCTTAGGTAGGGGGTGACACAGGCTTGCATGGGCAGGGAGGGTCAGGACTAGGTGAGACCGTCCTTTGACCTGGGATCTCTTTCTGGAGGTTGTGGTGTATGTTAAAGGCCGTGTCTCTGGACCAATTCCTTCCAAGTCCAGTCAGACCAATGAACACACCAACAGAAACTTTGGACTTAGAGGACATCTCTCCTTCAAACTGGTAGCTACCAAGTCCACCAAAGAAGGTTCAGCAGACAAACTATCAAAAACAGGAGAGGCTCAGTTGTTGCTTATGACGGCCTGAGTTCAACCCTCAGCGCCCATGGAAACAATCAGGCGTAATGCTAGGAGCTTGTATGCCACCAGCTTTTCAAAATCTAGCTTAGGAGCTGGAGAGATGGCTCAGTGGTTAAGAGCATTGCCTGCTCTTCTATAAAATCTAGCTTATTTCAGTTATCGTGATGTCTTCAAGATTACTCCAAGTTGTAGCATGTATTATGTGTCTCTAGCATGTATTAAGTGTCTCTAGCATGTATTAAGTGCTCCCAGCATGTATTAAGTGCCCCTAGCATGTATTATGCGTCTCTAGCATGTATTATGTGTCTCTATTATTTGTCTTCTTCAGCTGTATAGGAAAATGTAACCATGAAATTTGCAGGCAAATGGTTAGACCTGGAAAGTGGGGCCACTCAAACCAAACCAAGTCAACCAGAATGTTCTTTCTCACATGCAGATCCTGGTCTATAGTGTCAACATGCAAACAGCTGTAGGGTGGGCACAGTGTGACATTCGAAAGGAGACCAAGAGTGGGTGGTATTAGGCGATGAGGACAGACAGGGTGCAGGGAGAAGGACACAGAAGTCATGACGGGACATAAAGCTGATGGCTTTCCAGTTTCAACCCTGTTGTAGTTTTCCTCTTTTGTGTGTGCTGAGCGTAAGAACATAACATGTAAAACCCTAATCATTTGCTGTCGCTGGGAGGCCTGCTCTGTTCTGAAGGGAAACAGGAGGAGGACCCCATGACTGGGAGGGTGGAGGGAGGGAGGGGAGGCTTTGGTCAGAATGGATTATACGAGAGAAGAATAAATTAAAACAAAACAGAAAACCTAAGGGAAGTTGCATGGTTCAGAAAGGTTGCTCTAGCTGTGAAGTTCACTGAGATGAATAGGGTTTGGGACTGGACAAATGTTTTTGTGAGTGGCTACCTTAACTCCGTGATATTTTTATTTGTGACTTCATTAGGTTAAAGTGATTTTATTTAAAAAAAAATTCTTCTGGGTGGTGGTGGCACACGCCTTTAGTCCCAGCACTCCGAAGGCAGAGGCAGGCAGATCTCTGTGAGTTCGAGGCTAGCTTGGTCTACATAGTGATTTGCAGTACAGCCAAGACTACACAGAGAGAGCCTGTCTTAAAGAACCAAAAAAGAAAAAAAAAAGATTCTTGGGGAGCCCTGGAGAAATGGTTCAGAAGTTAAGAGCACTGGTTGCTCTTGCAGGGGACCTGACTTCTGTTTCCAGCACCCACATGGTGGCCCACAACTGTCTGTAACTCCAATCTCAGGAGAGTCAACGACTTCTGACTTCCATGCGGGCACTCACACACATAAAATAAGGAAATCTTTAAAAAAAATTCTTTGAGGAATATTTCCCAAAGTGGAATTGATGGATCCCATTTTGATTTTTGGAGAACTGCTTTCTGGTTTTCCATAGCATCTGCACCATTTTCAATTAGTAACTTTGTTCTTCAACCATTTCACACACACACTCACACACTCAGCTCTCACGGCCGCCTCTTCTCTGCCCTGGGCATCTCCTTCTCACGTGTCTGTCTGTTTTCTGTTGTGACCCGTTGAGTTGAGCCAGGTCTGTCTGTGTGATCTTCTGGGTTTCTGTCCCATCTTTCAGTTGAGGAAACTGAGGTTCAGGGATGGGAGGTGGGTCACACAGGACAATAGGGTGAAACCCAGGGTCAGATTTTTCTGTCCAATGGTCTTGTGAAAGTCTATCCTTCCTCTCATTTCTAAGGCAGTTGCCAAACCCTCATATCTTCCTGGGAGCAGAACAGAGAAACCCGGGATCCTGGGATGGGAAAGGGAGGGAACCAGATCAAAGCCCTTGGAGAAAATCCATCTTTCAGGGGGTTGCATCATCAGAACAGAACTCAGTGTCTTCTCTTTGACCAGGACCAACCTCCCTATAACCTCAAGGCGTTCCATCTGCGGATCGATTTCCCCAGGGAGTATCCATTAAAGCCTCCCACTTTGAAATTCATCACCAAGATCTACCACCCCAATGTCAGCGAGGATGGGCTGGTGTGTCTGCCCCTGATCAGCATCAGGAACTGGAAGCCTTACACTAAGACCTACCAAGGTAGGGCTGGCCTTGCCCAGAAGAGGGTTCGTGTAGATGGAGGCCATTGCGTGGGGGATGTTTGGGGCTTAGTTTGAGTTAAAGGCTTAAAAGAGAAGAGATAGGGAGAGGGGTGTAAGTCGGTTGGTGGAGTGCTTGTCTTTAAGGTCTTAGGGTCAGTCTTCGGTGCCACATGAGCCTCTATACAAGCTCTGTGTCAGGTATGTGTGTCGGATTCCCACGTGTCACCTACACACAAACAAATTAATTTCAAAAGCTCATTCTCAATTGCATAACAAATTTGAGGTCTACTTGGACTACATTAGACCCTGAGTCAAAACTAAATAAACAGATGCTGGAGAGGTGACTGACTCCAAAGTTAAGAGCGCATGGTGTGCTGCCTCTGCAGAGGACCTGGGTTTGGTTCCGGACCTCAGTCGGTGGCTCCCAGCATCCGTCATTCCGGTTCCAGGCATTCCAGTTCCAGGCATTCCAGTGCCCTCTTCTGGCTGTCACGGGTACTGCATGCATGTGGCACACATGCACACAAAGGCAAGATACTCATGTGTAGAAACTTAAGACTGTATAAATAAAAACGTTTAACCATTTATGTATTTAATATGTATGTATCCTTTGTCTACATGTATGTCTCTGCACCATATGCATGTCTGGTGCCGGTGAAGGCCAGAAGAGGGTGTTGGAACCCTGGGACTGGAGCGACAGACAATTGTGAGGTGCCATGTGAAGGCTGGGAATCAAGTGTAGTGCTCTTAACTGCCGAGTCACCGCACGGTCCAAATAAATACATTTATTTACTTATGTATTTTATGTATGTGGATGTTTTGTCTGCGTGTATGCGCAGCAAAAAGGGCATTGGATCCCCTGGGACTACAGTTGTAGAGTTATGAGTCACCATGTGGGTGTTGGGAATTGAACTCAGGACTTTTAGAAGTCCTTATCTGATGAGCCATCTCTCCCGCCCAAGCACATTTTAAAGGTGAATAAAGTCTAGGTGAGCCTGTGGGATGAAGGAATGCTTCCTGAGATACTGGACGGTCGGGATACTCTTCAGGTGTGACCGAGAAACTGAGCCACGGTTCGTGCACAGCTGAGAAAGATTAAAAGCCACTGGGGTGGGAACGGTTTTCAGTCTTTAGTTTAGAACTACTTCACCTCAAATAAAAGTTTCTTTAAAATTCCAACCTAACACAAAACCAGGGTGTTTGAGACGTGGCTCTTCAGTTAAGAACGATTGCTGTTCTTGCTGAGGACAGTTCAGTTCCCAGCACCCACATTAGGCCCCTCTCGACGCCCTCTAACTCCAGGCCAAGGGTATCCAACTCCCCGTTCTGGCCTCCAAGACCATCTGCACATGTATGGGCGCGCACGCGCACACACACACACACACACACACACACACACACACAGAGAGAGAGAGAGAGAGAGAGAGAGAGAGAGAGGGAGAGAGAGAGAGAGCGCTAAATAACAAAACAGAAAATTGTTGGGAGCGGTGAGACCCCAGATCCTGAATTTCTTGTAATCCCCTGATCTGAGTGCCTACAGCTGCTCTGAGCATGAGACCTTCAGGAGTTCCTGATGGCAGGAGAGTGGTTTCTGGGTGGGTTTGGCTGGGGCGTGGCTGTCTCTATATAATCTGCCCCTGAACACAATAAAGGGGGCATTCTTGGGGAATTCAAGGATGACCTGTGTCGCTGTCTCTCTGTCTGTGTGCGTCTGTGTATTTTAACCTCTAGCCCCTTGCCCAAAGCTCGGTAACTGGGTGCCAGCTCCCATGCTCCTCCTTGGCACTGACCTCCCTCTCTGTTCTCTCTCCCCAGTCTTGGAGGCCCTCATTGTGCTGGTGGGTAAACCCAATCCAGAAGAGCCTGTGCGGTTGGAACTTGGCGAGCTCCTGACCCAGAACCCAGAGATGTTCAAGAGAAACGCAGAAGAGTTCACCCTTAAGTTTGGAGAGGACAGGCCCTCTTAGCTCTCCTTCTCAGGCCTCTCTGCCTAGATCTTCTGCTTAGTGGGTATGTATCAGGACTGGCACCAGAGGCCTTTGGAGGCCTATCCTCTGATCACATTTTCCTTTGTGGCTGCTAATTATGAATAAATGTGCCTAGTGTGTGTGTGTGTGTGTGTGTGTAGGCCTGTGTGGGGTGTCATTTGGTGGTAGAGGTGCCATTCCCACAGGCTTGGCTGCTCCCAAAGCCAGTGCAAGTTAGGTCCGCACAGTTTTGGGCCTGCTTTCCCATTCTCCATCTGGCAGAAACTTGAATGCCTCAGGGCCCAGGCACCAAGGAAGAAGGAAGACAGGACCATGGCTAGAAGGCTGGGCACACAGAAGGAGCCAAATTCACTGCTGAGTGATTGGAATCAGCCATGCTTGTTCTAGGTATGCCCAGACTTAAATGTTAATCATTTTGTTTTTGCGCTGGTGAATCTCAAAATGAAGAATTTAAACTCCATCCAGGAATCAGACTTCAGGGTTCTAGACAGCTTGCTCTCTGACTGGCTACGTTTCTGGGGGCTAGGCCTCAAGAAGGGGTTTGTGTACCTCTAACCTCTAGTCCAGGGAGCTCCACAAAATGTGTGCGCTTGTCTGTCGTTGACTTCACAGATGAATCCCAGAGTTCAGCTAAGTTTTCCAGGAGAGGAAAGTTTTTTTTTTTTAAAGCTTTTGTTGCGTTTTCATTTTGAGTGTTTGTGTACGGTGGATGAGCACACCAAGGCCTGGGAGCAGAGGTACAAGAACAATTCTTGGGAGAGAGTTTTCTCCTTCACTATGTAGGTCCTGAGGATTCAACCAAGGCCACCCATCTGGCTTGGTGGCCTGTACCTTTTGCCTTCTGAGCTGCTTGGGTTAAATGTTTCATTAGAAGGAGGGCTGGCTGGGGACTGATAAAAGAGTGTGACCCTGCTTCTAGTGGCTATTGTCCACACACGATCAGGAATGCTGGCCCTGAGTGGACCATCCTCAGGACGCCTTCCAATGGACATCTGTCAATCAGCAGAGACCACATTTCTTCCTGCCTGGGCAGCCTGTCTGATTTCCCCTTGCTGGTGCTAGGGAATGAACCCACAGCTTCATAGATGCCAAACCAGCGCTCTCTCACCCACTGAGCTTCAGTACAGTGGCGTTAACACAAGGCGAAACTTCAGACACACTGGGAGGGATTTGTTTCATTTGAAAACCATCGAGTTAGAATTGCTGTCCATCTCGAGAGCGCCACTTACTGGCCGGCTGCGGCAGCCCAGTTGGGTGAGATTTCTAGAGATGGTCTACTTCCTGTCTAGAAATCCCCCCACTGTGGAGGAGAAGTGGAGAGGGTGTGTGTGTGGCGGGGGGACCTGGGAAACTGCCACCCACAGCTCCAAATGCAGGCTTCTTTTTATTTTTGGCCACTGCCTATTGCACACACGTGTGGCTCGTTGGGGTGCGGGGAGCATCAAGGAACTAGAGGAACTTTACAAAAGCACTTTTAATGACTGGTGCCACCGGCGTGAAGCACCCGAAGGCTATGGCTGTCGGCTGTCTCACCCTGCTTCCTCCACCTGCGTGGCTTTGCCCTTCATTTCTTTTTCGTCTTCACCAGCCCTTTCTGCACGAGGCTACGGTACAGCTCCTGGATGTAGGTGTAGACACACTTGGAGTCGGGCACGGCCAGCCGCACCATGTCTTCCACTTCTAGCAGCTGGGCACAGTCGGCTAGTTTCCTGAGGAGAGGGCAGAAGGAGGGGCATAGGGTCAAAGGTGAAGAGGGAGCCCAGGAGATGGGTCCAGGCAAGTGAAGGCCACTGGGTCAGCCAACCCAGTGTGAGTGGAGTGTGGCACCTGAGGTCCCTGTAGGGGACCTATAATTTCGATGGGCCTGGGTCTCCGGATCCTCACATTTCCTAGTCTGTATTCTCTTCCTCCTTGAACATTAGCACAGCTGCGCTCTGGATTAGGGGCAGAACATGAGTCCTCCCTAGAGTGCTGGCTGGCAGCAACCAGAACAGCTCCCATCAGTGAGATCACCTATTTTGTAAGCACCTACTGTGTGCTAATAGTCTTCTGTTTGTCAGCCAAAACTCTGCCCTCACGGGGCCAACAGTAACCAAGCCCACAAAGCAGAAGCTGTATCTGATCGGCGAAAGACACTACGGAGAAGGAGAGAGCAGAAAAGGGCCATTCCACACTAGAGAGGGCCCCCGATCGTTTTTAATAGGGTGCTCCATAGCAGTCGACAGAGAACATTTGTATGACTGCTCGCTGTGTGTCCAGATGGCAGGTGACCCAGCAAGTCCTCATTTTCTAACATCTTGGCTGCATTTGGAGGCTACTTGATAGCCCTGGTTCTGCTGGGGCTGATAAGCCTGGCTAATCACAGCTGGGGCCTCCCTGCCCAGTGCCAGGTGTCTTATCGGGTGACCCCGGGAGACGTCTCGGTTACTCCTCTTTATCTCTAACAAGCAGAGGAGGAACTGAGCTCAGAGGGTTTCGTGCTTTGCCCAAGGTGAAAGAGTGTAACAGCTGGGAGTGTGGTACCTGAGGTCCCTGCAGGGAACCTATAATTTCGATGGGCCTGGGTCTCCAGACCCTAACGTTTCCTAGTCTGTATTATCTTCCTACCCCACCCTCTGCACAACCCTGTCTCCACCAGTGACTTAGAAGTTTCTTTCTGGGTCATTTCCCAGGTTGGAGGTAGGAGCTTGAAGGTGGCAGGAACCCCAACCCCTTTTTGCCACTCTGGCAACCTTGCTTGTTTGGTTGGTTAGTTGGTTGGTTTTGTCTTAAGATAGGCTCTCACTGCATATCCCAGGTGGGCCTGGAACTTGAGGTCCTCTTGCCTCCACCTCCTGAGTGCGGGGAATAGAGCCATGTGTCCCCACACCCCTTGTTCAAAGTCTTATCTTTGACCCAGTTTCCCCCTTCAGTCTCTTCCTTACACTGCCCTTGGCGTGTGGCTATGCGAGCCTCGGCAATAACACCCCTCCAGGACCCAAAGTGAATGGTGATTATCATGGTACCCTATCATTCATTATAATGATAGCAATGTAGTCAGGAGCTTTTGAAGGGCTTGCTGTGGGTTTGGCCCTGTTACGGGGTCCAGGAACTTAATTATGTTCCCGAGTTCTTATCTCTGTACAAGGGGGAAACATCATGGGATGTGGGGGACCTTGGGCATGTCCAAGGTTACACAGAGTTAAAATCTGACCCCACGTCCAAAACCAGAAGGTCTACCTGTCTTCTCTCTTTTATTCTGCTTCAATTTTGAATTTTCTGTGAATGTGTGTGTTGGTGTGCACATGTGTGTTGGGTGTTGCACCTCAGGAGCCACCCGCCAAGCTATCTGAGTCTTGGTCTCTCACTAATTAGACTAGTACAGTCAACAGGTTCCAGAGATCTGCCTGTCTAGGGCACACTTGCCATTTTACACAGGTTCTGAGGTGGAACTCAGGTCCTCGAGGTTGTGCAGCAAGCATTTTACCGACTGAAATATCTCCCCGGCCTTTGAATGTTCTTCAGGGCACCTGTTGCTGCCTGTCATTATATGTTAGCTGCATGTATGTTCTTAGGACCTGTCTCTTCATTTAGAACAGAAGCCACAACGGAGCATAGTTTTCTTTGTTTGAGCCATTGACCTAAAGGTTCTTTTTAAACCCCTCAGATACAAGGTTGATTACCTGCACGCATCCTGTATGCTCCTCTGGATCTCTCTGAGGCCACCCACTTCCCTCCCGACTCTGCCTTCCCAGGACTGGGGCTTACTCTGCAGTGGAGAAGGCTAGCGTGAAGTTGTGCCGCCGCTTTGCTGGGTCCAGCTCTGCATAGTCGAAGGCGTCTGGGAAAAACTTGTGGATGAGGGCGCAGAAGGCCATGCCGCTGCTCCAGCTGGAGGAGAAATTCTGGATGTCCACGTGCTGTGATAGACAGACAGGGAACGAAAGACCTAAGCGACCCTGGGCCGGAGGGCCTGGGCTTTGCCTCTCCCATCCTTTGGAATCTGGACCCTCAGATTCTCCGCCACACATTTGTCCTGAGGAAAAGTGTCCCTGCCCCTTCTGTATCCCCAGCCTGTGCCCACCTCATAGTTTCTCGTCATGGCCCGGCACCACTCCAAAAGCATGTTCTTAACACCACCAATGGCTGCCCCGGCTGCCTTTGTGTTCCGGAACAGTGCAGTGGGGCCCGAGGCTGCCCTGTGAGGGGAGGAGCCAGATACCATACAGTCCTTTGTGGGGAATCTCAGGCTACAGGTGATGGTTTCTGCTGGTCCCCAGGCCTCCCTCCCTCCATTAGCCCCCATCCATAGATCCTAGGAAATCTCAGCCCACCCTGGCTCCTGGTTTGCATTTAGATCCCAGGGAAAATCTCAGTCCACCCTGGCTCCTGGTTTGCATCCTACCCGCCGAACTTGTCCACGATGGCTTTGCGATTCTGTGCGCGGGGTCCCCGGGGCCGAGTAGGGGCCGACACCCTGCGTTCTGGTGCTCTCTCCTTCTTTTCCACTGAGGGTGGGGGTTCCGTGGGGCTCTGGGGCACATCACTGGGCGAAGACTCACTACGTGGAGAGGTCGCAGGAGCACGAACGGGGAGTAAACCAACACCACCGAGTCCAGAGCAGCTCTGGGGGGGTGGGTGGGGGGTGGGGGCTTGCTGGCTGATGGGGCAGAGGTCTCTGCTATGGACAGACCTGTGCTGAACTGGTACACACACTCATCCTGCGCCTAGCACTGGATGGGCCAAGAAGCAATGAGCAGACTCAGGCTAATTTTGGGGAGCTTGTGGTCTGTCAAGCCCACATGGGACAGAACTAGAGTACGCCTGGGCTCTGATCTGAGTTTGGAGCCTTGCTTTGTTCTTAATTCCTGTGTGATCTTGAGACTGTCCCCTTACTTCTCTGAACCTCGGCTTTCCCATCTGTAAAATGGGGACAAGGAAGAGACTGGGTGCCGTGGGAGAACAAGCCTGGCTGTCTAGCACTTCCTGGACGTCAGGGGCTTTCTGCTCACACATCACTGGAGCTACAATAGCCCTGGGATGTCCTTACAACTGTCACGTTCCCTTCACAGATGAGAAGAGGCTTAGTGACACAGCCAAGGTCACACGACTGGTAAGTGGCAGAGCCCTCATCCAAACTCAGGCTTTCTGGTCATTCTTATAGCTGACACTGAGAGAGCTGAAGTCATGGGGCCTGAAGAGGCTTCAGCCATAGAACAGGAGGTAGACCAGATGTCTCCCATGCCTCTCACTCTTTGTTTCCTGGGATCTGTCTGGGATACAAGGCTGAGGGCCAGGAATCCTGGAATATCTGGAAATCAGGTTCTGGGGAGGCCCAGAGAGAAGTGGCAGCAGGAGATAGGAGGGGTCAGAGTTCTGGGGCTTGGCATTACCTGGCCGAAGGACTGGTCCCTCCAGACGCTGTGGAGTCTGGACCCAAGCCATCTGGAGGGACAGAACAGAGCAGGAGGAAGCTGAGGCTCTGTCATGGGCTCCCTGCAACTCTTTCCTCAAGTCAGCCGTGTGGCATGCTGGGATCTCCCTTACCTGGGCTGAGGCTGGGTCCCTCGTCTGTGGGGCTCTCAGGCCACTCCTCGGGGGAGCTGGGAATCACCGCTGCCCTCTCTTCTGATTCTTTCTCCTTTCCCTGCTCCTGCTCTTCCGTGGGACTCCCTGGCTCCTGGGATGAACGGGATCTGTGTGGGCAGCTACCCAAGGCTCTCTAAGGACTTCAGAAAGATTTGGAAGGCAGTCTGAGCCACAGTTACCTTCCCCCAGTCCCACTCCCAGGATCTTGGTACCTGCTGGAGGAAGACTGTGCTTTCCCTAGTAATTGTTTGGATAGAAAGCGGCCACATCCTCTACTGAGAGGTACTTGTGTCATGAGGGTGCTAACCTCACCAATAGACTATCACATTGGCAACAAGTTCGTAATTGAATGAGTTATTACAGGAGGTAGGGACCTAGTGAGAGGATCTATCCACGAGGGGTGTGCTTTTGAAGGGCATATCTTTCAAGTGATGCATGTTTGTTTGTGATGTGTTTGTGTATGTGTGTGTGAATGCATTTATGTGTGTGAGTATGGGCACAGACATGCCACAGTGTGTGTGTGTGTATGCATTTATGTGTGTGAGTATGGCCACAGGCATGCCACAGTGTGTGTGTGTGTGTGTAAATGCGTTTACGTGTGTGAATATGGGCACACACAAGCCACAGTGTGTGCATGCACATGTATGCATAGATCAGAGGAGAACCTCAGGTGTAATCCTTTCTTTCTCTTCTTTGAGACAAGTTCTCTTTGTTCTTGGGCTGTGCATAATAGGATTCTCCTGTCTTTGCCTCCCATCAGGCACTCTGGGATTTCAGATGTGTGCCCCTGTGCCTGGCTCGTCCATGCGTTCTGAGGATTTGAACCCAGGTGCTTCTTCTCGCTTAGCAGGAGTTTTTACCCAAGGAACCATCTCCCCAGCAAGGGGAATATCTTATGATCTGAGATTTCTTCTCCCTGTCTCCTGTTCCTTCACTGCCATGGGGAAAACAGTTTTTCTCTATCCTGGTGCCCTTTCTCCGTCTTTCTGCCTTAGCATAGACCTCAAAGCAATGAAGCCAGGACTGAAACCTCTGAAACCATGAGCCAAAGTAATCCCCCCTCTTTAAATAGATTTGCTTGGGTGTTTTGTAGTAGTAACAACAACAACAACACCCCAGATGAACAAGGGAATCAGGGAGGCTTTAATTCCAGGGAAGAGGAGACTTGAAACCCTCGTTCATCCCTGCTCACCTGCAGCTCCTTTGCGTCACCTCCAGTCTCTGTCCCATCAGCTGCCTCAAGTTCAGCGTTGGCCTGGTCTTTTACAACAGCCTTCTGCTGAGATTCCGTCTCAGCCTTTTCAACAGTAGCCTCTGCCTCAACACCCTCCTTGGGTTCAGGCTTGACTTTATCATTCACATCCGATTTGTCCTTAGCGTCCAGATCGACCTCCTTTTCATCAGCTTTCTGCGCCTCCGAGGTCAGCGTGGTCTCCTCTTTCCCTTTAACCTCGCTGGGTTCCGGTGTTGTCTCTCCCTCAGAAGTCGTGGTGGTCTCTTCCTTCCCGCCCTCCTCCTCTGCAAGATCAGCCTTGGCTCCCTCCTTCCCACTGGCCTCCTCTTGAGCGTCTGCTGTGAGCTCATTGGATCCGTTTCCATCCTCTGGGCACCGCCCTGACACCGCACCCTCAGATGTGACTTCACACTGCTGTCCTGCCTCACCTGGAGACCCTTCTTGCACACTTGTCCCAGCTGTGCCTTCAGCCACCTCCTCTGTAGTGCTTCCTGGCGGCCCAAGATTCCCAGCAGTTGGAGAGACAGTGGTCCCGTCCTCAGAGGGACTCCCTTCTGTCTGTTCCATGTCTAGAAAGGGAAGACATGAAGACTTGGTCACACGCCGCCCGGCATGAGATGCAGACCTTGCCCTCTGAGTGTCCTGGCTCAGGAGTCAGAAATCTGTTGTCCTGTTTCCCTTCCTAGTTGGGCATGATACCACATACCCATGCTCCCTGTGGTAACATAAAGGATACAGATCTTCTTTTGCTAAAGTGGGGCCATATTGACTTGATATTGGATGGTTTTTATCCAATACCCTTCTGTAGGCTATGGCTTTATTATTATTATTATTTTGAGGCAGGGTCTCATGTAGCCCAGGTTGGTCTCAAACTTGCTTTTTAATAGAGGATTTCCCTGAACTCCTGATCCCACTGCCTCTGTCTCCTGAGTGCTGGAATTACAGGCTTGCACCACTACACTTGACCATTATTATTATTATTATTATCATTATTATTGTTGTTATTAATCATCAAAACCAGGGCTTCATGCATGCAAACCGTCACTTTACCACCGAATGAAGCATCCAGGCTCACATTCTGCCTTTTCAATGATTTTGCCTCGTTTTGATGAGCACAGTGAGGTGGTCACAATTTTTTGCCCTCGTTCCGGAATAAGGAAGGAACAATCGCTGCTCACCCCCTAGAGCCTAAAGCAGACCAGCCCATAGAACTGAACAACCCTGCTTCGCTTCCATGACATGGATTCTCAGTTATCGTCTATTTCTGGTGAGTGATATTGAGCTTCTATCTCCAGCTGTGATCTGAAATGTCTTTTAAAAATGCATTATTGGATTTAAAAATAACTTAATTCAAAACAAGACAGGCATCGCGGACATTTGAGCAAAGCAAATACAGACATCAAACCGCAGAGGTGCTGTAAAAACACTCGAGACTCGACAGCCCCCGGGCAGGCTCATTTCTGAACCTCCGTGGTTCTTGAGAAAGTCAATGAGAAGAGTTTGCTCTGGTGAGAGACTAGAATCACACCCTCCCTGGTCTGCAAAGCTGGCCTCCACCTGCTCTTGGGTATATGTGGAGAAGATGCTCCCTTAACTTGGAGATTCCTCTTTGAGTCTGTATAGTTTTGGTGCTGGGGATAGGGCCAATTCCTTTACTACCTGCTCTTGTCAGGGGGTCTGTTTACAAGGGAAACAGCTCCCAGATAGGGTTCAGGGCATGACTCAGACCATAAGAAAAGCGACGCTCCTGTCACTGGCTAAAAATACCGCCTGCTCTTGGCAGTACTTTCTTTCTCGGTGAGAGCACCTAGGACACCTTGGTAAACTGGGACAGAGCTTAGGCGGCATGAAGACAGCCACCCACCTCAGTCTTCTGTTCCTCCAGACAAAAGTCCTGGGGTCTCTGGGTTTGGTGCCCTCCACTTTTTAGGAAGCAGATGAAATTTCGTAAAGATACGAAGACCGCCCACCACCATAGCCCCTTGGGGGTGCAGCAGCTCCAGCCACATCTTCTAGCAAGAGGGGAAAGTGCCCGTGTCGCAGCATGCAAGGGTGATGGCCAGGAGGTCGTGGCATAGGGACCCCAGCATTCCTGTCACTCAGCTCATTCCCTCTGAATCCCAGCTTCAGGGCAGAGTTTCTAGATGATAGTCGGTGGAGGCGTGGCACAAACGAAAGGGATAGGCTCACTGGCAGAGTGCTTTCCTGAAACGTACAAAACCCTAAACTCAACCTCCAACATGGTATAAACTGGGTGTAGTGTACATGCCTGTAAACCTAGCATCTGTGAGGCAGGAGGGGGAGGGTCAGTCTCAGTCCATGATAAGCCTGAGGCCAGCTGAAGAAAGGAAAGAAGGAAGGAAGGAGAGGAGAGGAAGGAAGGAAGTTAGGGAAGAAAGGAAAGAAAGGGAAGAAAGGAAGGAAGGAAAGCAAGCAAGGAAGGAAGGAAGGAAGAGAAGAAAGGGAAGGAAGGAAAGGAAGGAAAGAAAGAAAGGGAAGGGAAAGAAAAAAAGGAAGGAGGGAAGGGAAAGAAGGAAGGAAGGGAAGAAAGGAAGGGAAGGAAGAAAGGAAGGAAGGGAAGGAAGAAGGGAAAAGGAAAGGGGAGGGAAGGAAAGGAAGAAAAAGGAAAGGAAGGAAGGAAGGAAGAGAGGGAAGGGAAAGAAGAAAGGAAGGAAGGGAAGGAAGGGAAATGAAGGAAGGAAAGAAGAAAAAAGAAAGACAAAACAAAGGTTCTCTTGACAGTGAGAGGAAGATGTATTTATTCACTGACCAAGGTTGTTCCAAATATAGCCAGCTTTTCACTCTCCTAGAGAGATACAGCATCATTAGCACTTAAGGAGGTATCAGGTGTCACTGAGTTAAAAAAAAAAAAAAAACCAAAAAACATGGCTTGAAAATCATTGAATTCACCTTTCCCTAAGCCTACCTGTCCACGGGTTTTCTCTTTGCCCTCTTTTCTTACTGGAATGCCTTCCATGAGGCAGTCCTATTGATCCCTTTGACAAAACCAAGCTCAAGATCTGAATGAGCCACACACCCTCTTCTCTTTCTGTTCTTTGCCCTTGTGGGGAAGGTGGCATGCGCCAGTGGTGAACGGCATTGTGGTCCTGTGATGGGAGGATGCCAGCTCCCACCACTCACTGTGCGATGCTTGCTCTGCCTTTTCGTTTCTCTGGATAGCAATAGAAATATCCACCCGCCCGTATGGATGGTGGAAGGCTCAGGCCACTAGCGCGTGGGCAGGATTTGGAAGGAGAGTCCTTAGCCCATAGTTTGCCTGCTGAAGATTGACTGTACCATTCCTGGGCCGTGGTGATGATCTGACCTGGTCCCCAGGGCATTACGAATGACACAGCCAGAGAGAACGGAAGTCAGTAAGATGACAGCAAACCCTTTTTTATGCCTCCAAGTGAGGCATATTTGGCTAAGACATGGCTGATTGCTTCAACCGTCTATCCTTGTCGCTGCAGGCTACACACTTGAGGTGGGGGGAGGAGATGGTATGCATGGGAACACGCACACACCTCAGCTGTCTTGAGGTGGGGGGAGGAGACAGTATGTATAGGAACACGCACACACACCTCAGCTATCTTGAGGTGGAGGGAGGCAACGGTATGCACGGGAACACGCACACACCTCAGCTACTTTGCCAGTTCATCACCTCCGCTTTGCCCTCTAGGCTTGTCATAAATAGGAAGAGAAAACCTGAATACTGAGGAGCAGGATAGCACCCTGCCCCAGCACTCACGATTCTGCCCCCACTTTACAGAGTAAGCTGAAGCACTCTGTTTTACTTTAGTTCCTTGACTGACCCCTCGGAAGGGGGTGACTAGCCCCATTTTATACTTTAGGGGTCTGGCTTAGGGATTATGGTACTTATGACTAACGTCATCGGAGAATTAAATAGGCCAAACCATATCCAGAACCTAGGTCTCTGGAGTCCAGGGTTAGCGCACATGTTGAAGATACTTTCCCCACTAGATCCTCAGCCCAGTGTCCTCCTCAATGGTCCCAGCGCAGAAGAGTAGTCCCCGCACCTGGGGGAGGAGCCACTGAATAAGTAGAGTTCCCCTCAGGGCATCCTAGACTCCCTTCATTTCCCAGCTTTACTCCTGACTCCTCCTTCCCTGTTCCCCTGAACCCCAACCATTATCCTTATCTTGTGTCCAGTTCACCTCTTTGGTTCAGCTCCCCCAGTCCAGAAGCCTTGAACAGTGTGAGAGATGCTGGCTATTTCTGTGATGCCTCTATCTCCCACTGCCACCTAGTCCCTCTCCCAGTAGCTCTGAGGCCCCTACCTTACCACCTCAGCCCTTTCTCAGAGAGGCCATTGCATCCTAAGCCCCCGAACCTCTACCTCTACCTGTCCTGCTAAGCCCTCTTCATAAATGGCTGCTTGCAGGCTACTCTGTGCCCAACCTCAAGCTTCCCGACTCCTTTAGGCAGCTAAAAACAGTTGATAGAGTGGAGAGGATAAAGAAGCAACTTGAATTTCTCATTGCAGGACCCCCGTTAGAAGATCCGGCTCTTGGATGGAAGAGGAGGGGCTGGAAGATATGGGATTAATAAGAAAGGGGCCCAGGGCTTTTCCTACCTGTGGGGTTCTGCCTGCAGCTTAGGAGCTCCTGCCTCGTTCTAGCTGAGTGGCCTCACTCTGACAATCCTTTAAGTTCTGGAGGCTTCGAGCCCCCAGCTCGTAGTCCCGCCTCTTTGCTTTCACTCCCCCCCCACCCCCCCACCCCAACAAGGCCTGGGCTTTGGGAAGAGCATTGTTTACTGCCCTGTTGGTACAACACTTTCTCTTAGACTGGGAGGCTCAAATTTCCCCTGAAGATCTGACAGGTGGCGCCTTTCAATCATGCACGTCCCTCTGGCCCAACCCTAACAGCATCTCTTCTGTGATCACCTTCCTTCCTGAGGTGCTCTGGCCCTGGAAACCCGGACAAGCAGCAGCCTGTTTAGAACACGGTCTCTGGTCGCCTTCTGGACTCCCTCAGCCCCTTGCCGCCAGGCTTCCTCTAATTGCCTCCTTCACTCCTGCCTAGATAGAGCAGCTGCTGAGGGGTAGGCTCAGGAGGTGGCAAATGAGGCAGCTGCCAACAGTGGGCTTGCACCGGACTAGGAAACTTGAAAGGGGAGGGGCCGAGAAGAGAGAGGAATGGAGAAAGCCAATGAAACACTGGTTTTTAGCATCTATAGCATAGATAACTCATTGGTTCTGTTTTTTAAAAATATTTATTTATTAAGTATACAATATTCTGTCTGTATATATGCCTGCAGGCTAGAAGAGGGCACCAGATCTCATTACAGATGGTTGTGAGCCACCATGTGGTTGCTGGGAATTGAACTCAGGACCTTTGGAAGAGCAGGCAATGCTCTTTACCGCTGAGCCATCTCGCCAGCTCCTCATTGGTTCTGTTTTGAGCAGGACTGATTGGTACATGATCAGCTCTGAATATGTGTGTGTGTGCGTGCGTGCGTGCACTGAATTGAAATTTTGCTCAGAAAAACAAAACAAAACAAATTCTTATTCTGGCTGTGTGTCCCACAACTTAAGGAGGGTACCA